AAAAAAAAAATTATATATATATATAATATATAAAATTATACAAAGCAATATTGTAAATTAAATAAATGTGGGTATATAAAAGTATTGAAAGGCAAATAAAACATAGTTGTAAAGATGGAAGCAAGAAGCCAAAATGATATAGGCCTATGTAGTATTGTATAAGGCATATAATATATAGAGATATAGTGCATCTTGAAAAAATGAAACAGATAAGTTCTACAATAGTATAAGCTAGAGTGAAAATACCAACAATAATATATAATGAATATGCCTAACAGAATAATAATAATAATAAAACCGAATAAATAGAAATAAAATTATAATTAAAAGTGACCGAAAACTAAGAGAAGAATATTTAGCGGCAGAAGGAAAATTCACTGATAAATCCCAAGTCTTTATTGAGGCCGTGGGTGTGTGTTTTGAGTTTTAAAATCCATTTCAGTTCTTCTCGTTGTCTGTGTTCAGTAGAGCGGAAGTTACTGGCTATGAGGGTCACTTTGAGATGGTGAATATTGTGGTGGGGGGAGTTAAAGTGTTCCCCTACAGGGAAACCAGGGGTGTTATTGCGGATGGAATGTTTATGGTTATTAAATCGTAGGCGGAATTTATTACCCTACTTATATATATAAGTAGTACGTATATATATTAAACATGCGTTAAATAAGAGGAATCTGCAATTGTGAAAAAATGTGACCCAACTTCTCATCTCTTATCAACATTAAAACCACATCACCTTAAGTCCTAAAGCTCATCTACAAACTCAGAAGGGCAAAGCCTCTGGTCCACTTGAGAAAATAAGTTTAACCACAAACCTAACTACTTATAACATGCTGCAATGGCAATGTAGGCTACCCCCGACATGGAATTTCAAACGCGCTTTGTACACGCATATTATAATATAGAACGTCCTAATCTAAAATTTCCTTTACGTTAAAGCATGGATGTAAATAAACTATAATATAGTAAATAATAAACCAATCATATTATCAATTTCAGAATGATGTAATTCAAGAACTGAAAGTCGCTGGCTGGTTTACAATGGTAAGAATATACAGCCCAATAATTCTACTGCATGTAGTCACCCAGTTCTTTGCTGGTCAGTCACCGACAGCATTCCTTACTATTTAATTAGTATAGCTGTTCTTTTCTTTTTTTTTCTCAATTTCAATTACTGTTATACATTTGTAACGTGGACTCTGGTTTACCTGAAGAAGTTTTGTTATGGTAACAAAAATTTGCAAAATTCAAAAAAGATCTATTTGAACTATCATTAATTATTATTATTATTATTTTTTTATATTACAGAGATGGCAGGACGAACTCATTAGCTGGGATCCATTTGAATATGATATTGATTGTGTTTCTCTTCCCGCACACAGCATTTGGAAACCTGATATAACGCTGTACAATAAGTGAGTCTTCATTATTAGCAAATAAATATTAAAACATTTCATATTCAACCAGTGTTCTTAAATTAAGATTATTCTGTAAATATTTGAGATGTGGGAAATGTTTATCTACGAAAAAAATGAAGATTAACCAACGTTAATCCCCTGAGTAGTAAAATATTTATAAAATACACAGACAATTTAGAGATTCCCTAAAATACCAACATGTAATGCGTTGTTTCGTTGTGAGGTCTGAAATTACGAAAATTTATAATTGTTAATTGTTCATTTTTGAAAATAATAAACTTTTACTGCTTTAATACAAGAAATTATATTTATGATATTAAATTACCATTTAATAAATAACTATTTAATCAATACTAAATAACTGACTGTTATAAGTTAAAAATCTGATATTTGTTATCATATTTTATGTCCGGTAGAGAGCCTCTTATTACGGCAAACAATGCCCATCAAATCCGTCGTCGGGAGACCACTTAATATCCATACACAATATCCGAAAAAAAAGATTTTTTTTCTGGGTACAAACAATATTTTCAATAGCTAATATTAATAGACACCCTTATATTCAGTATCACTTTATTTTGACACAAAGACGAGAAATTAAAATTAAACTCAAATTAGTATTTAAAATGTTTGAAAATATGTACCGGTAATGAAATAAAATTTCCGCTATAGGCCTACGTCATGCACGTATGAAAACCAATTAAAAAGAAGAAAAAAAAACAAAAAAATAAAACCGAACAAGTGAAAATAATGGGATGCTCTGAAAAAGGCCAGAAAGTTAGGTCCTGGTCTTATGGGCCTGAATAGTTAAACAATTGTAAAACACGATTAAACAGAATGTTTTTAAGTAGAATGATGTCACTTTACGCCCTCTACCATTTCAGCCGATTTTACCTAAGTGATCAGTTTCGGTGACAATGCTGATACACCTCTATTTGGTGACAGTATACTTATCAGATCTATTAGGTAGAATCGGGTGACCATTTTAACTCAATTGTGTATGTATAAATTAAATTAATCTGAATTTTTTACATTTTATTCTAGCCGCGACGAGAACTATAAACATTTCTTACCGGAAGCAACAGTACATGTGTGTTTCGACGGTAGTGCGACGTACTCAGCTTATTCTATATTTCGAAGTTCCTGCAATATGAATATAAAATATTACCCATCCGATGATCAAACATGTAATCTCCGACTTTCCTCCTGGAATCACAATGAGTTTGAGCTAGACATTAATCCACAGCTTCGTGTACTGGATCAAAATGAGCTTTTCAATGACAACGGAGTGTGGAAGCTTGAAGGTGTCGATGCATGGCGCGAAATTGAGGGGTACAAGTCATTCTCTAACCCGTATGTGTATGCTGTCTTCTCAATTCATCTCAAGCGACGTCACGAGTTTCATTGCAGATTTATTTTGATTCCTTATTATTTCTGTTCCTTCCTTATCAGCTTCATGTTCTTTATTCCTTTTGAAAGTGGTGAGAAACTCTCGTTCGGAATCACATCAGTGCTAGCAATGACTGTCTTTCAGCAATTCGTTGCGTTTTCCTTGCCACCGGTTGGAAACCAATCGCCTGTTGTTGGTAATGATCTTGTTAAATATATTACAATGCAAATAAAAAAAAAAATACAAAAAAAAAAACATACGGTGATGGTAAAACGATGCAAATAATAATAATGATAATAATAATAATAAATAATAATAATGATAATAATAATAATAAATAATAATAATGATAATAATAATAATAATAATAATAATAATAATAATAATAATAATAATAATCCGGGTGATTGTAGTGACGAAGATGTCGACGTTAATGGTAAAACGATGTTGGTGATTATTGTATTTTATGATGTCATGGCTGTCATTGTAACTCGTTTATGTAATACTACATAAATACAAAACTAAAATTAAAAGCATATTAGCACCGCAAACACTCATCAACCCCTCCCACCCCCACCCAAGAAAAAAAAGGGGGGGGGGGTATGAATTTGTCAGAGCTTGTGGCTAACTTATTGCAAGTTTACAAACTCTTTGTTGGAATTACGCAGTTTAATACCGGTAGTTAAACAACTGTTCGTCCGCATAGTTATCTAAATTTAAAAAAAAAACAAAAAACTGACCCACAAGGCACACTTAGGGTGTTTCTCCTTCTCCCCTGTCCTCTTTTTTATTTTTTAATCATATACTCTGTTATTTTCTGAAAGTGTTAGCATACCGGTAACAATTATTAGTTGTCAAAACAGCAAATAAGTATCAACGAATCAAATTACCGTATTTATTCGAACAAACGCCCCCCCACCCCCATCCCTTTTGAACACACACCCTCCCCGTCGAATAAAGGTCCCTTTAAAACCTTATTTGGAATAAACGCTTCCTTGAAAAGCCGTACCGAGGCGTTTATTTTTTCTTCAAATCAACACCCCTAAATGACTGTAAACAAGTCTAATGGGAGGAAAATCATTCACAACACATAGGCCTAGTTATGTTCTATTCCAGTAGAATTACATTTTTTTCGAACCTGGATGGGATCAATAAATTTTTATGATCACGCAATAACACATCTTGACGGTAATTATGTGTTGTAGATCAACATTTACAGTAAAAGTAAGGGGCGTAAATTTGAGTTAGTATAAGCGTATCCATTTTACATCCAAAAAATAAACATAAAGTTGGAATCCCGGTTGGAATACATAAAAAAAAAACACCTTTGTATTATTTAGAGTTGTATTTTTATTTACTTACTTGGTATTTTTTTATTTATTTTTTTCAGGAAGATACTTTAATGCTGTAATCGGGATTGGAGTTGTTGCACTGTTTGTGGAAATTGTACTTTACAAATTCAAAGATAAAGCTCATATGAAAATTGTAGAGATTGGCCTTGGAATATGTTTTTTACTGGCGTTATTAATAGCCTTGATAGTTTATGTTGTAAAGGTATAAACAGAAAATACTAATTAGCGCATCTATAAAAGCATTGCGACATTTATCTGTTCATTTTGTATTCATCCGCGAAAGAAGATGTATGCAAACATTTGTAATGATGATAATAATAATATTATTATTATTATTATTATTATTATTATTATTATTATTATCAATAATAATGATAATAATAATAATAATAATAATATTATTAATAATAATTATAATATTAATAATTGATATCAATCTGACGATGATGCAGGTACATGATGGATTGTGGTAATGTTTGTAAACAACCTCTCTGGGATGACGGTATATTTAATTAAAGTATGGAAAATCTAAATTACACAGTTTGAAACTACAAAAATATAAACGTTTTAATTGTTTTGTAATGGCTATTATAATTCTTTTTTTTTATATAAAGTTAACAATTCATAAACCTAGGAGTGTGCATACGATGCTATTTAAAAGAAGCAATATACGTAATTCTAATGAAATGATAAATTCAAAGTAAAACAGTACGTTACCAGTAAATATTGTATTTTTACGCCGATACATTATAGTGCTAACCTTAATCTATAAATAATACATAAATATGTATATGCCATGCCACCGAACCTTCTATAAGCAATTATTATTGACAGACATTCAATGAAGAAAACGACAGATTTTAATCTTCCTCCCATATTGATATTTATTCCGTATTACAGAATCTACAGGCACCTATATCACAATCAATATCACAAACGTGTTTCGGAAACCATTTCCATCATCAGTGTGAAGCTCGCTAGTTGGGTACACGTATTTATAACAACTTACACCCGTGTATGTAAATTCTATTATGCATACATTTTTTGTTCTATTTCGTTTCGTCCAATTGCACGCCTCCACCTATTACAATGATTTCATTTGTTGAAAGAAGATGGCTATTCCATTTCAAAGAAAGGTGGCAAATTGTTACAAGTTATATTGTTAAAACGTGTATTGATTGGAAGAAATGTAGGGCTAAATTTATTTTTCAAATGTGTAATAAACGAATAATTAATGTTTTGAATATTTTCATGAGTTGAAAGATTGAATGTTGCATTCGATCGACTCCCCGATTTGAGTGGAACAGTAAATTTAACTTTCAACTTATAAAAAATATTCTTCTCATTGCACGAATACAAAACATTCATTATTTGTATGATAATATATGTGCATCCAAGTGTACATTTATACTGTAGTCATATTGTTATAATGAAGTCACAATTCCTTCAGCGCACAATTTTGGTAGGTGAGGAATAAGTAAATATTGGCAATTAGTTGCATCATAATTATAAGTATTACAGAACGAACGCAAACTTTAATGTGATAAAGTTTGGCAAACAGAAAATGTCATTGCAGTTCTAGATATAAGAAACGATAGAAAACCTTAACCGCTATGTTTAGACTGAATGCAACGATTTTACTTCCAGCAGTGCTGTTTATATCAGGTAATGCATGCCATTACATTTTAATTACAAAAACCAAATCAATCTGTAGTGCATTAACGCACGATAATCCACCAAATGCTTTTGAACCCAGGCCAGTATTTGACCAATCACAAACAGCCATAGGTGTAAAATGCGCAATGGATTTAGTAGCATAACAGCTACGAATTTTCAGTGTCTGAAGCCCCTGGGGTATTTAAATGTATTACTTTGTGTTCTAAAAATTGGCCTTTATAAGGAGTAAAACGTATAAAAACAAATTATCCCCTTAAAACGTCAACAACGCCTAAGAGGGCAATGATTTTTTTCTGTTCCCAATGGGGTTTACCCAGAGAGGGTATCAGGGCTAGAAGATACCTTAGTGAGGATCTCGGTCCAGGGGCTAGAAGTTACTCCTAGTGTATCTCTTAAGTATGAACATATCTTAATTAAATCACTGACAGATCTTCTGTACACAAGCTATGGTACTATTTTTTAAATAGGTGTTTATATTTATTGACAAGGACATGGTATCTGAAATAAAGATAAATAAATTGAATTGAAATACGATATAAAATACATGTTTATTTTAAGGTTTATTATTTGACCAAATATTTAGTTATAAACGACAGAGTGATATTTTGAAATTCATACAGGTATAAGCATTTATTTAATTCGTTAAACTAAAAAAACTTATTTAACTCATAAACTGTTTCAAACAATTTAGAGAGGTAAATTCAAAGAACAGATTTACTTGTTTTGTATTCCTCAAATATTTAATATGTTGTATTGTTTAGAGGAAAATGCTTTAATATTTTGTTTAAAAACGAGTTTAATAAACATTTACACATATTAATGTGTTTCGTAACATCCTTATAATTTTATGTGCGACTTCAATTTTTATTAGCCTTTGAACCCTTGTTAATAAATCTGAATTTTAGATTATCTGAACTGTAGTTTTAATGTGAGTTGTTGAAAGTTCTTTGTACAATATAGATATATTTGCAACAGTAGAATCACTCTTTATCAGTAGAAAGTGGTAAATGTTGGCTTTACTATTAGTTTATTGCGGATTGACCATTACCGTAGCTCTTATTATTTCTCCTGCATCTTTATTATAGTATATTACATGATATATACAATCTGATTCTTTTTGTTCTGGTTGTTAGTCTGCTAGTAGCAGGTTTTAAGTAGATGTTCTATATTCTTGTCTATAACTTGTCATTGGATTATTCTAGTGTGTCTTCACGTTTGATGCTTGTAGAAAAAAACGCTTAAATCTTATCATCATAGTTTTATGCAAACTCAGCTTGTTTTAAATGATAACAAGCTTAAGAAACCGACTCTCCCTTCACTCAAACAATTTAGCTTCATGTATTTTTGAATTCTCTTCTCCTGATTTCCGTAATAAATTTTCCGGATGTTCCAACTGCTCTGTTGGTCAGTTCCTTCAAGTTGGTCAATACATTCCTCCAAAATGTTGATTAGTATTTCTTTACCGTCCTTTTCTTTGGATTTATTTCTGGCAATTGCCTTTTAATTCCTCCCAATTTCACTTTTTTCTATATTATTTTGGAAGGCGCATAGAGACTCTAGCGGTGAGCTATACAAGAACAATAATAATATTGATATCGTCCAGCATCATAATTATTTTGGTATCGTATGTTGCGTTCCCTCCTACTTCAAAGAATTTTCGGCAACACTTATGTCAAGAATGTTTCCAATTTACACTCTAGCGGTGAGCTATACAAGAACAGTAATAATATTGATATCGTCCAGCATCATAATTATTTTGGTATCGTATGTTTCGTTCCCTCCTACTTCAAAGAATTTTCGGCAACACTTATGTCAAGAATGTTTCCAATTTACATCCTTAGTTGATACTGATTATTTTTTGATAAACTTTCTGTCTTCTCCAATGGGTGTAAGCCCCTCCTCTCACTCACTTTATTCTTATCGTTTGATACTTTTCTAAAAGCATGTATCTCTCTCGCTCTAGCCGTTTTTTATTTTTGATTTTAGTGTTTAAATTTCTGATAAAAAAAATAATTTCTCACTAACATTTTAACTATCATTTTCTGTTGTTGAGTATTCATTCGTCTAGTGATCTTTAGAAAGCCTGTTTTGCTATGCTATTATTAATTATTATTATTATTATTATTATTATTATTATTATTATTATTATTATTATTATTATTAATAATAATAATAATAATAATAATAATAATAATAATAATTATTATTATTATTATTATTATTATAGCTACCAGGGTTTTTAGTGCCAGGTGTATTTTACCTGTTTGGCCTGTTTAATAATCTCTCTTATATTGTACTTTGAAGTGTATCATTGTTCCACCTTAACCTCATCACTTTGTGTAGTTCTTCATTCATTATTTTCTTACACAGGAATTTTTTATATCAGTTACTGGCTTGCTTAATTTTTCGTGGCCATCTGTAACTTTTATTGACTCCAATAGTTGATAACCTAATTCTGCCTTCATCTGCTTCCTATAGCGCACATCTCTTCCTAAATAGTTTCTGCATTGCTGTTGAATACTTTTAACAGAACCAAGCATCCAGGTATCACACCTCATCCAAATAATGCACGGTTCCGACTCTTCTTCGTTCACTATTACAGGTTGTTTTGATCCATGTAAAGTGCGGCTATTAATCTTCTTTATTTCAATCAATATTTATACGATTTATTCAATTCCCTTGTTTCTCACTTTAGCCTAGTCTGTCGAACACTTTTCATAGCCTATAAACAAAAATCAGAATTTACTATCATATTCAATATTTCTTGTATTGATTCTCTCTCAATAGCAATGACATTCCTTGTTCTAGGTTGTTATTTTAAATACAAACTACTTCTGGTTTATATACAGGTTACTTTTTAATTTTTTGTAATATCCCAAGCTTTAATGATAAGGGTGTTTCTAAAGTCTAACCTTCAAAATTACAGCGCATATAAACTAGTGCCGCACAACTCATCACTCTACAAAGACTGGGTGGAGAGAAACAATGTTGATAATGTGCCTTTCCCAAGGACACAAGCGAAATGCACTGCGAGCGGATTGAAACCCCGACCTCGAGGTTGGAAAACCAAACCGTTCCCACCGCGTCAAACCACATCTACAACCACAAACTACTTTTACAATATATATATGGTCTCTTATACACATCT